AAAAGAATACATAAAATTGTATGTATGTAAAACACTTTGTAAATTCTTTGAGTAATGGGTTGGAGTTTTTTTTTTACTTATCTAACTTTTTGAAAAGTAAACACATTTTTTCAGAATTTATATTTCTCATTTTCCAAATTGTCATTAAAACTACACTCTCAGAAAGCGGCAAGTGGGATGAATGTGATACACAGCGTAATGATTCCAAATTTGCTTTTAAAAAGACGTGTTTTGAGGAAAAGGCTGGAAAAATATCCACCTAACCATGAACAAATGTTATCTTGAGGCAGTGGCATTAAGGATGCTTTAAAAAAAATTAATGTTTATTTATTTTTGAGAGAGACAGAAACAGCATGAGCGGGGGAGGGGCAGATAGAGAGAGACAAAGGATCTGAAGCAGGCCTCTCACTGTCAGCCCAGAGTCCCATGTGGGGCTCGAACTCACAAACTGAGATCATGACCTGAGCCAAAGTCGGACACTCAGCTGACTGAGCCTCCCAGGTGCCCCAAGGATGCTTTTAATATTCCTATCAATATGAAACATGATAAATGTCATTATCATTTGCTGGACCTTCATGACATGCCAAGCACCGCCCTGCTGACAGCTAACGTGACAGCCAATATTCCAGCCGTCCTCTGACGTGGGGGTTACCACTGTGGAGCTGTCTTCCAGGTGAGGAAATCGTTTGAAAGACGCAAAGCAGCCTGCCCACACCCAGCTGCGGCTTGCCGAGCAACAGCCTCACCCAGCAAACATGGTGCATGCCTTCCTCTCCAGTGGAGAAGGCGGTTCCCTTCATCCAAAAGGAGCCGCTGTGGTTTCCCCAGGGCTGGCCAGAGGGAGAGGGTCTTCGGGGGGGGGGGGGGGGGGGGGGGGGGGGGGGGGGGGGGGGGGGGTGGATGCGTGCATTCTCGGTGGGGAGCAGGGGTGCGCCACAGTACCATTGTGTCCACCCCTGGAGTGGCCCAGCCCAGGCAGCCAGTTCCAGAAGCCTGCATGGTTAGGGGAAGTCCAGGAAGGAAAAGCGAGCGGGCAGCAGGCAGGCTGTGTTTGGGAGCAAGGGACTTAGAGGGCCACATTCAGAGCAGCAGAGTGCGGGGAGAACTGCAGACGAGGGAAGTTTAAGAGATGTCAGGCCACCCCATGAACTGGGTGCCCCCACAACATGCCTGTTACCGACCACGGGCTCCGGAGTGGTGTCTGAAAGTGGCACAACACTGAGAGTGAATCATGCCAGGACCTGAAATTCATTATAATTATTCGTGTATCTCTTTTTCTTTACAAAATGTGTCATGACCATGGGATTGGTGTGACAATGAGGAAACAAAAATATACATAAATCTTTGTGTGTCTTTTAGCACAATTCTTCCTTAATATCGAGAATGGTTTAGGGAGCGGCTATGCATTTCGCTACCTAGGAATCAAGGGAGGTGGCTCATATTCTGTCTTTCTAGTATTTGCCAGAGAAAGAGGCCCCATCACCACAAGGGCTTCATGGGGTGCAGGAGAGAGCCGGGCTTGGGCCACCCGGTACTGTGTGCCTTGAGGACGGGAGGCACTTAAACCATTTCAACTCAATTTAGCAAATTATTACCAGTTTGCCTAGAGCTGTGCTGGATCACGGGATAGGCTCCGAGGTAAGAAGGGCACTCCCGTTTTGCCCATTGCATTATCACCTGTCTCCCACAGTGGACTGAGGATTTCATGGTGCAGGGGCTTCACCAACTTTGTTCATGGCTCATTCCCCTGAACCTAGTGCAGTGCCTGGAACTCGGAAGCCATGCAAAAGATGGGTGTTGAGGAATGAAATAAGGGCGAATACCCTAGAAAACGGCTCTTCCCTTGAAAGCCCTAACATCTCTCATTGGAATTCCCTTTTCTGGTTTAATTCTTACATAAAACTGGCTCAGAAGCTCAGAGTGAAGGGGCGCCTGGGTGGCTCAGGCAGTTGAGCATCTAACTTCGGCTCAGGTCATGATCTCACAGTTCCTGAGTTCAAGCTCTGCCTTGGACTCTGCTGACAGCTCAGAGCCTGGAGCCTGCTTTGGATTCCAGGTCTCCCTCTCCCTGACCCTCCTCTGCTCTCTCTCGCTCTCTCTCACCCCGAAAATAAATAAACATTAAAAAAAAAAGAAACTCGGTGAAAAATCCAGAGTTTGCACAGAAAAGAACAAATGTGACAGAATTATAAAAAGGTATAATAAGCAATGAAATATCGCTGTCTCCATTTGTCACCCTCTATTCAGTCACATTTCCCAGGCACACACTTTACGCCAAGCGCTGTGCTAGAGCACTAGAAATACATACCCCTTCACCTGGCCGGGATCATGGGGACAAATAGAGCATCCCGAGGATTGATCTGATCCACTAATATTAAGTGTCCAGAACTTACGTTCCAGGCATTGCTCTAAGTGCTTTCTATGTATTGCTTTGTTTATGGGTAGCATTATGCTATCCCCATTTTAGAGATGAGCAAGCTGAGGCTCAGAAAGGTTGAGTCATTCGTTCATGTTCCACAGCTGGCCACTGGGGAAGGCCAGGCTTGGGTTCCTCTAGTCTGACACCTGTGCTCATGCTCTTAACAACTTCCAGGGAGCTGCCCGGGAGGCGACCCTGAGATCACTGGCCTCCAAATCCTCAAGGATAAAAATGCAGATTCCCAGGTCTGGGGCTGGAGGCTCAGAATTCCTGGGAGGGAAGCCTGGAAATCCTCATGGTTTTTTTTAAAGCACTAACCTAGGTGTTTCAGGTGTGCACTAATCTTTGTAAAGGACAGCACTCAAATGTGCCACACCCCCTCCTCGTGAGTTTACAGTGTCTCTAGCACCTGCCCACCTACACCCCACCCCCACTTCCTGCCAACCACAGAGCAGAATTGGAATAGAGATGAAAGGAGGGAGGAAAGAAGGAAGGGAGGCAGGAAGGAAGAGGGGAAGAAGGGCGGAGGGGGCAGGATGGGAGGAAGGAAGTTAGTCCAGGGCAGGGCAGCCCAAGCCTGCTACCCTGCCGCCCTTGAACTTGCAGCGTGCTCCTCCCACTGCCAGAACAGCCGCTGATGGGTGGGAAGAACCTCCGTAGGAGCCTCCTCTATGGCCGGCTGTGTCTGCCCTGGGAAGTGGCTGAACACCCAGCTGCTGGGAACCAGGACTAGGGGGAAATTGAGCTGTTTCCAGGGCTCGACACCTGAAAGTTTACCCTGCCCCAGATCGGGACAGGACTGCACAGGTTCCCCACCTAATGGGCAGGGTCCACATCTTGGAGAGATTCAGCCAACAGGACGTGTGGTGGGAAGGAGGAGGGTCCTCGCGACAGATGGGCTGCGTGATCCTGGGGTAACAAAGGGTCCAAGCCGCAGGAAGTAGAGTGGGGGTGGGTTTGCGGGGTCCAGGAGGGGGTACCCAGCACACTGGTTCTCATAGCCACTCTGAGTCTCAGTTTCCTTCTGCATAGAAGGAAAATAAGAACTATGATTTGATGGCTGTTGGTATTGTGATCTGTGAGGTGGTGAGCACTTTCAGTGTGCCAGGCCTGGACCCTGTCTGAAGGCAGACAGTTTTCATAACAAGTATCTATGAGGCCATTCTGATCCCCATTTGACAGAAGGGAGTGAGTCTTAGATAAAGCAACTTGCCCGGTCGTTCCCAGCAGACAACCAGTGGAGTCAGGATTTAATTCCAGGTCTGTCTGAAGCCAAGGCCTATCCTCTTAATAACTGCCGATACCTTCTCCAACCTTCCTTCCACTTCTAGTTTCCAGGATCGTGGTTTCAAAGAAAAGAGGTGCCACTCTGTCTTCCCAGCCCGCATCCTGAGCCTCCACGGGAGATATGCCGGCGAGTTCATCTGCATCCAGCAAAGACATGCATAGCTGTCACCTGAGAACCCTGTCAGTACACAAGAGTCTTGGAGGCATCAAGCAAATAGACTGAATCTCAGCCCCAAAGGTTTGAACCAAGGAGCCATCTGTACGATGGATATGGAGGGGCTGTCAAGGGCTACAGAGCATCGAAGAAAACCCAGCCTCCCAGGCTGGTCTTCCTCTCTAACCTTAGCTTTCACTGTTTGCCCATCACTCACTCCTACTGTTACCTGTTTCCCAAATGGGCCACGCTCATTCCCACCACAGGGCCTTTGCACTTGCTGTGACCTTTGCCAAAAACACTGCTTTTCCTGCCCAGAAGAAGCTGTTTTCCCCAGATCTTCCCCAGGCTTCCTCCTTGTCTTCCAGGTCTCAGGTCATGGTCCCGTCCCTCGGGAGGTCTTTCCTGACCACCTCACCTAAATAAGTACCCCCAATCCATTCCTCTCCATTACACCTTCTGGCTTTACTTCCTCTGTGGTGCTTAACACTATCTGAAAGGATCTTGTTCATTATTTGCTTCTGTGTTTAGAAAGTGCCTGGCAGATGGTTGACTCTCAACAAATAATGCGCTGAATGAATGGACAAATGAACAAATGGATGAATGGAAAATCCTCCTTTCTTTTTTGGTAACAAGGATCCAGAAACTTACACCCCAAAACACCCCTCTCCTTTCAGTCAACAAGGGCAGAGACCGCGAGAAATAACACAGCGGTTGGTAACAACTTAACAACCATCGGGCAGTTTATCTACACACATTGCCGGGCATGGTTCCAAAGCTAAAAAGGCACTAATTGCTTTTATATAAGGAGGTAGAAACACAGTCTCTCCGTGTCCTTTAGTCCCAACAATGCTCTGCATTATCTGATCTGTTACCGTGTTAATTGTTGCTGCACCACACAGCCAGTTTGGGCTTTATTCTGCGTACGTCTGGGTTGGTGACAGCTTCCTATACAGAGAGAGGTACTGGGCAAGCGTGTGCGTTTGTGCGTGTCTGTGCAAGTGTGCCTGTGTGCGTACAAGTGTGTATGCGAGCAGTGACACTCTGGGAAGGGTTAAGTCACAGTCGGGCTGTCTGTGCTCAGGGCCCTAACACTGGTCCGGGAATGGGAGGGGTGGGCTCAGAAGGTGGAGCTGGCTTGGCTGGAGTGAACTGCCTTCTCCAAGACAGGAGCGCAGATGCTCGCCCGGCTGGACCGAGCGTGGTGAACGCATGTCGCCTTCAGGAATGGCTGAAAACGCCCGCACCTGGAATTCCCTTCCTCCCTGCCCCTCCGCAGCAGGTTGCATTTGGGAGTCTCTCCGATCATCAGAGGAATGAGCAATTCACCGGCTCGCCAGCACTTGGAGAACAGCAGGCAGGGATGGATGTGGTCAACAGCCTTCTCGTGAATGGAAGCAACATCACCCCTCCCTGTGAGCTAGGCATCGACAACGAGACGCTCTTCTGCTTGGATCAGCCTCATCCTTCCAAAGGTACGTGTCAGACACTTGTTATTTTCATTCAGAAAATGATTGAGGGAGAAGACAGCAAAGGCAAGGCTGAGAGAGAAAATATAACAAAGTCCTCGTGAGACAAGGCTGGGTAAAGTCGTGCGTTCACAAGTTTGGATAAGAGATCAAGAAGCAGAATTGAATCCAATACCCTTACCGTTCCCCGTGGGAGAGTTGAGGTGGGTGTATAGGACTCGGAGGTGGGGGCGAGGGGGGCAAATCCAAGGAAGGAGGGGCCGAAGTGTAATAAGGAGATCAAAGTGTCGAAGCTGAAACTTACCAGCATCTCAGAAAAGGTGCTCTCACGATCTAGCTGTCACCTTCTCTCGGGGGAAATCTGGCGTGGAAAAGTGATGAAAGTAAAATAACGCTTAGCAGCCAGGAGAGAAAGCAATCACGATTCACTGGAGAAGCTTTGTTAGGAAGCAAAAGTGGTTCCCTGACTGACTCTTTCACAAACCAACCTTTTCGAAGCAACTGAATCCCTGTGCGCTCCTCACTTTGTTTCTGCAAAATGTTGTCAATATAGGACTAGTTGGGTTCAATCAGGTACACACACCCTTGCAAAAAAATAACAGGCTGCAGGAAACAACCGTTCATTTTGTGTGCTCTGGTTTTAACATTCTGCTCCCATAACCTCCGCCCGCCCCTCTGTCTCGTCCCTGTTACTCTGCGCAGAGTGGCAGCCGGCTGTGCAGATTCTCCTGTATTCCTTGATATTCCTGCTCAGTGTCCTGGGGAACAGCCTGGTAATCACGGTGCTGATTCGGAACAAGAGAATGAGGACTGTCACCAACATCTTCCTGCTCTCCCTGGCAGTCAGTGACCTCATGCTCTCCCTCTTCTGTATGCCGTTCAACCTCATCCCCAACCTGCTCAAGGATTTCATCTTCGGCAGCGCTGTCTGCAAGACCACCACCTACTTCATGGGTGAGTTGTTGCTGCTGCTGACTATCCCTGGAGCTTGCCCCAGACCTCACTCAGCCCCAGCCCCCCCGCCCCCAGCCCCCTGACAGCCTCAGCACAGGAGTCCTGCTGAGTGCAAAACACCCCAGAAACGTCTGGCTGTGTGGGGCTGAGTGCAGGGGTGCAGGCGCTGGCTTTGAGAGAGGTCCGTCCTCCTGCGTGCCCAGGAGTCAGTCCTGGCTGGTACATTTCAGAGGTCAGTTTCTCAGAGCGGAGTGAGTTGTTAAGAAACCACAGAAGAGGTGGGTTTTGCTTCCTTTGGCTAGAAAGAAAGAGGGATTCGAGCGGCTCTGTCCCTTCCTGGAAGCCGTGGGTTGTGTTCAGGGCTCTGCCCAACCCGAGTGGTTTCCGAGGTGGTGGGGGTGGTGGAGGGGGTTTCTTTCTTCTCTTGCTCCCGCCTTCCCAGGGAACAGGGGCTAGTGTGAAAACCAGTTTCTTTCCCCGGCTCTAGATTCCCGTGTCAGGACTCACTTCCCAGCCTGCTCCCCCCCAGGGGCTGGGACCATCTCAGGCAGAGGGGGACGGGGTGGGGGGGTGGGGGGCTCTGGCACTATAGGAGGCTTTGATTTTGCTCCCAGAGTCTGCGGGTCATTACACTCACCCAGACTGGCTGGGACAGGCAGCTCTCTGCCTTTGCCAATCAAAACGATGACAATGATAAATCACAATCACAAGGGCTGGTATTTTTGAGCACTTTCTATGCACCAGATGTTGTACTAAGTGCTTTTACTCCCACGATCTTATCTCCCAACCACCCTGTGAAATATAATACGCTTATTCTTCCCTGTCTCACCGACAATGGAACAGAAGCACAGAGAGGTTAATAATATACCTAGGGACACACAGGTGGTAAACCAGAGAGCAGAGATTTGAACCTAGATCGGTAGCCACCACTGTGGTGAGTGAGGACGCTGCCTCAGTTGGCCAGCTGCTGTGGCCATCCTGAAGCTGAACAAAGATGTCTCTCCGTCCTCTCTGTCTGCCAGACTGTCGCATTCCTACCCATTCTGAGAACTAGCTGACGGGAGGAGGAGGCTGGGAAGTGAGGGAGGGTTGTTTTTTGTTCTGACTTAAGCCTTGCAAAATGTGTGGAGCGAGATGAGCTGGGCCAGGGCAGTCTTCAATGACCGGAAAGCTTTCAAAGCCTTTATTTCTCCCAATTGAGGAAGCGGGATCTAACCCTGACCCAATGATGATGAATCACTGATCCGGGTGCCACGGACAAACAACCAAGACAGTGTCAGTCCTTGACCAAGAACTCTGAAAAGAAAAATGGACTTACCAGTGAAATGGATCATTACTAAACAATGAAGCAGTAATAATTACTAGTATCTCGTGGGGCTCTCAGCTTTCCAGGCCCATCCACATGTATCTTAATGCTAGTATTATTTAAGAGTCTTAACCAGGGTCTGTGAAAGGAGATTTAACACGAACTCTTGTGTGATTGCACGGCATTGTAAATGCGCTACATGCCACGGATGTGCCTGCTCAAAAATGGTTAATTTTAGGTTATGTGAATTTCACCCCCATCCCAAAATGTTTTTAAAAATAGCTCAAATGGAAAGCAAGGTAATTCTGAAAGTGTTTGAACACCATAATGGTTTTGTTGGATTTCTTTTTTTTAAATTTTTTAAAATGTTTTATTTTTATTTCTGAGAAAGAGAGAGAGAGACAGCGTGAGCAGGGGAGTGTCTGAGAGAGAGGGAGACATAGAATCTGAAACAGGCTCCTGGCTGTGAGCTAGCTGTCAGCACAGAGCCCGATGCGGGGCTGGAACCCATGAACCATGAGATCATGACCTGAGCCGAAGTCGGCTGCCCAACCGACTGAGCCACCCAGGCACCCCAATTTTGTTGGATTTCTAAATCTGGTGATTTCTAGTCTTCCCTTGATTTTGTGTTCTCCTCAATACTATTCCTAACAGTTAACATTCATTAATCTCGTAATATGCAGCCAAAAAAAAAAAAAAAGGGAGAAGAAACAAAAAGAAAAAGAGAAAGAGGAAGAGTGGTAGTGGGTTTATGATAACAGTATCCTCATTATCCAGACCTGACAGGAAGGACTTTAGGGCTACACTCTGTAGCCTAAATGTTATTATTTCCTTGCGAACCATCCAGTAAAACAGTTGTCCTGTCTCAGAACATGAGTTTTTATTTAATGGTTTTTGGGTTGCAGATTTCTTCAAGTCTCTAAGGAATATTGTAGGTATTCCCCCTCGAGAAAAGAATATTTTTACAGACAGTCGCAGAGAATTTATTTATATCCATAAAAGGGCTCAGGCTAAGAGCCTCTTCTCCTAAGCTTCGATTAATTCTAAGGTTAGGAAATCATGCTAAAGATAATCAGAAAAAATTAACGGAATCCACGAATGAATCATTAAAGGGAATTTTAAGGGGAAAAGATGGGATAATAAGTATACACACACAAAATACAAAAATTAAGGAAAATAAGCTTTTTATTGACTCTGCCTAAGAACGTTTTAAAGGTGTTTTGATGTCTTTGTCACTCATGACAAATGTTCCTTCTGCAAAATACAGCAAACCAAAACAGCACAGGAAGGGAAGTTGTAGTCTCCTACAACCCTTGGCTACGCGGCGCCTTTCTACCCTTCATCTTTCTCTACTATGTGTGTTTGCCATGAACTACTTTTTAAAATTTAGAACATTGCATTCTTTAAAAATCTGTACTAGAAGGCAGAGAAGGACAAATATCATATGTTTGCACGTATAGGAGGATTAGGAGGAACTTGATGGAGGAACAAGGGGGAGAAGAAGGGGGAAATGGTGGGGGAAAGGGAGAGAGGCAAACCATGAGAGACTCTTGAATGCTTACAAAAACTGAGTACTGATGGATGTGGGGGGGAGGGGGTATGGGCATGGAGGAGGGCACTTGTGGGGATGAGCACTGAGTGTTATGTGGAAACTAATTTGACAATGAACTATTTGTAAAAAATAAATAAATAAATAAATAAATAAAAATAAAAACATATTATATATATAAAAAAATAAAAATAAAAAAATAAAATAAAATAAAAATCTGTACTAGAAATTTTCAGAGTTTTAATGCCTCCAGGTCAGACCCCAGTGACCTTTCAGGGTCACAGTCCTTAAAAATCCAGGTTATTAGGTCAACTTAGCCTCAGGTTATGCTCAAAATTAGAGCTATTCATTAAATGGCTGACTCAAACACCTCTTCTGTGGGGTAGGAATATATTCCTCCCGTGGTTATTAAGCAGGAGGTAGGTTGTAATCAAAGTTCAATAAACTTATCTAAAAATTGGAAAGCAGATGTATTTGTAACTAGATTTCCTTAACTGCCTTAAATCCTTTTTGAAACAAAGCTGAGAATGAATCATTTTTAAATATATATACATACATAAGCTCTCTCCGCCCTCTGAGTGCTGTCCCTTGATAGGAAGCCCTTGCAGAGATCATGTGCAAATAAAGTCTGGTTTTCGGAGCCGTCGTAACCGATTTCTTTGTTCCTTTCCCAGGCACTTCTGTGAGCGTATCCACCTTTAATCTGGTAGCCATATCTCTGGAAAGATATGGTGCAATCTGCAAGCCCTTACAGTCTCGGGTCTGGCAGACAAAATCCCATGCGTTGAAGGTGATCGCCACTACCTGGTGCCTCTCCTTTACCATCATGACCCCGTACCCAATTTATAGCAACCTGGTGCCTTTTACCAAAAATAACAATCAGACCGCAAATATGTGCCGCTTTCTCCTGCCGAATGACGTGATGCAGCAGTCCTGGTAAGGCTGTGCGGTGTTTATTTGTGTAACACAACTTGGGAGACCTTGCGTTTTTTTACAAAACCTGGAATGTATTGTCCAGAGTGGCTGGGGGATCGGTTTCTGGGAGACTTGGAGAAGGATTCTTCTAACGTCTTCTTAGGATGCTAGTGGTAGCAAACACCTAGTGTTCTGTTTTAAATGCCATGCATATATTAATTTAATTCATCTTGTCAGAACCCTATAGGGTAGGTACTATTCTTGTCCCCATGGACATGGAGACATGGAGAGGTTGTTGTTCAAGGTCACAAAATTAGAAGACACAGAGCCTCTCTGCTTACTCACTCTGTGGAATGCCTCTGGATGATCTAGGGGGGCTTTGGCTAGAGGATTTTGAGGACTATGATTTTCTTTTCTTTTCTTTAAGTTTTTAATTTTAAACTTTTTAAAATGTTTATTTATTTTTGAGAGAGAGGATGTGCATGCACTCGTACAAGCGGGGGAGGAACAGAGAGAGAGGAAGACACAGAATCCAAACCAGGCACCAGGCCATCAATGCAGGGCCCGATGTGGGGCTCAAACTCACGAACTGTGAGATCATGACCTGAGCCAAAGTCAGATGCTTAACTGACTAAGCCACCCATGATTTCCTAAAACCTGGAATTAAAGCAGAGAATGAATCCCAAATCCCATGTGGTTCTTTTTTGAGCTGCTGTTAAGGTGCTTAAACAGAACCCTTCACTAGAAATAAATAGGCGAGGGGCGCCTGGGTGGCTCAGCTGGTGGAGCATCCAACTTTGGCTCCGGTCATGATCTCGTTGTACCCGAGTTTGAGCCCTACTGGGGCCCTGTGCTGACAGCTCGGAGCCTGGAGCCTGCTTCGAATTGCTGTCTGCCCCCTCCCGCTCATGCTCTGTCTCTGTCTCTGTCTCTCTCTCTCTCTTTCAAAAATAAACATTAAAAAAAAACAGTGAGATTCTAATACTGCTTTCTTTGCTTCCTAGCTGACTGATGGTAGACAAGTTCAAGTAACCTCTCTGAGGTTCAGGTTCTTTATGTATACAGGATTTAATAATATGTATATATTTTTATCTACCTTATTGTGTGGCTCTAAGATTCAAATGAGTATGTGTATAAAATGTCATAAAATATCTTAAAAGGCTCACAAACGCAGGGTATTATGTTTACTAATACCAAGCATGTTTTAGAATCAGGGAACCCGATATCCAAAAATGGCTCAAAACTGAGATAATCTCTGCTTTCTCTGCCTTCCTTTTTTCATTTCAACCAAGTAACATGCACGCACACACACACACCACACACACACACACACACAAAGAATTACGTTCCAAATGAGAGAAACATTTCCAAGGCTTGAAAAAGAATCTTATCAAAACATGTCCAATTGAAATGAGAAATGGCCCAGCCACCGTGAGCCTCTGACAATTTTATGGCCTAATCGCATAACCTTCCACATGCCAGAGTGCAAAAAATGATTTAGGGGCCAGACTCATAAAGGAGGCTGTGGTGCTTCAGGAATCAAACATGTTTAGAGAGAGGATAGCTCTGCTCCACCAGACACTAGAATAAGTGTATCACTGTGCCAGGGGCGTCAGAAACAGCCAGAATACTGTATTTTGCAAAACCTAAGAGGTTTTCCATCATCCCTATCTATGCATTTAATGATTCTGTTGTTATGGGGTGCCTGGGTGGCTCAGTCAGTTAAGTGTCTGACTTTTGCTCAGGTCATGATCTCATGGCTGGTGGGTTCGAGCCCCTGGTCAGGCTCTGTGCTGATAGCTCCGAGCGCATGGCCTGCTTTGTATTCTGTGTCTCTCTCTCTCTCTCTGCCCCTCCCCCGCTCACATTCTGTCTGTCTCTCAAAAATAAATATTTTTTAAAATTTAATAAAAAAAATGAAAACAAATGATTCTGTTGTTATAAAGTCAGCAAGTAGTATATTGTGATGCTTAAGGGCACAAGTCCTAGAATCATATTGTTTGGGTTCAAATTCCACCTTTGTTATTAGCTGTGTGACTTTGGACAAATTGGTTAATCTCTAAACACCTCAGTTTCCTCATGTAAGGCATAATGAAAATAGTACCTACCTCAAACATTCTTATGGGAGTTAATTCTAATTATATATTATATTATATTATATATATGTAATATTATATACATAATGCTTAGCTTAGTGTGTAGCATGGTAAGTCTTCGATAAATGTAAGCTCTTGTCAATGTTTTTTGCATTTTTGGTAACAACTTTATTGAGATTATTCACATACTCTTAGTCATTCTTAAGTTCTTCTTAGTTTTCCATGAAGAATTGTTTCAGGAGCAGAATTACATCAACCCTTTCCAACTTAACTAGTCCTCCATAAAAGACTTTATCTGAAAAAGGGAAAGATGTAAACAACTTTGAATGGCTGACCCACCAGACATGGAATTTCCAAGTCTATTAAATACTAGTAATTAATGTGTTTGCTCAGATCAGTTAAAATGGAGATGAGCCTTATTTATTCCATCCCATCTGAGTTTGAAATACTGGAGGTGATGGTTATTGAATTTCTTTTTATTTTATTAGGCACACGTTCCTGTTACTCATCCTCTTTCTTATTCCTGGAATCGTGATGATGGTGGCGTACGGATTGATCTCTCTGGAACTTTACCAAGGAATAAAATTTGATGCTATCCAGAAGAAGTCTGCTCTGGGTAACTATCTTTCAGCTGTACGTTTATGCCAAAATATCACAAAAGCATGTTTCCTGTAGCATAAAGAGATACACCGAGAGTGTATGTTGGAGATTTTTGGAAGTATTTTCAGGAGACTCTGTGTTGTGAGGCACAGTCAATGAGACCCAGTGTCCATACTTGCTCAGCTGTGAAATGGAGAAATTGTTCCTTTCAAAATAGTGCTGAATGGAACAAAATGACATAATGTACACATACCTAATTATCAGCTGAGGGCCCGTGTGTCCCACGCTCCTGCAGTGTTATATTCCAATGGACCCCTTCAACAACTGAAGTGAATTGTAATTCCAACCCCCCATCCTCTCCTCCCTTTCTTTTTTAGTTTACTAATTTGTTTTGAGAGACAGACAAAGAGAGACAGAGAGAGAGAATTAATGGGGGGAGGGGCAGAGAGAGAAGAAGAGAGAGAATCCCAACCAGGCTCTGCACCGTCATTGCAGGGCCCGAGGTGGGGCTCGATCTCACAAACCATGAGATCATGACCTGAGAGGAAATTAAGAATCCAACTCTTAACTGACTGAGCCACCCTGGCGCCTCTCTCCTCCCTCTCTTTGTCACATTGCAATTGCCCTAAGGCCTCACTTCCTCCCCATGCATTGAAATCCACGATCCACTAAAACATATGGCGACACCTTTGTTGACATAACTTTTTGCCCTTCTCGCTCTACGCCTTCCGTCTACTCTTTTAGCATGTGTGTAACTTACATGTCTCTATAGTTTCTTTGGTTTTTGTCGCTTTCCGCTCATTATCCAGGTTTCTCAGGAAAGGCATTCTGGAGGCTTACCCAGCAAGCAGGCCCCTTTCCCCTTAGGATCTGGGGAAAGAGAGGAAAAAGTGTGCACGTTCGTGCATTCGTAATTTTTTTATCCTTACTCCTGACATGCATGAAATATAATTTTGGGATTATATACGATGCATGTAATACATTACATGTTATGCTCTTAGTTTCTTTCTTTCTTTCTTTCTTTTTTTAATTTCTAGGAGAGAGAGAGACAGCGTGAGCAGGGGAGGGTCAGAGAGAGAGGGAGTGACAGACTCTGAAACAGGCTCCAGGCTCTGAGCTGGCAGTCAGCACAGAGCCCGACGCGGGGCTCGAACCCACGAACCGCGAGATCATGACCTTAGCGAAAGTCGGACGCTTAACCGACTAAGCCACCCAGGCGCCCCTATGCTCCTAGTTTTAAGTAGGTTTTCGGTTGAAGGAGAGGACTCCGGCGGACAGCTACCTAGCTTGCCCAGCTCTGCCCTTTCCGCTCTGGTGGGATCCCCTTGATGGAAGGGGCGGGGCTCCCATGCCCTGTGTCGCGCACGGCCCACCCCCGACAATAGGCGATGTCGCTTGCCCCCGCAGAACGGAAGCCGAGCCGAGGCAGCGGCGGTGGCCCATACGAGGACAGCGACGGGTGCTACCTGCAGGGGGCGGAGCCGCGCCCGCGGCTGCAGCTGCAGCAGCTGTCCCGCAGCGGAGTCCGCCGCGCCCGGAGCAGCAGCTCGGCGGCCAACCTCATGGCCAAGAAGCGCGTGATCCGCATGCTCATGGTCATCGTGGTCCTCTTCTTCCTGTGCTGGATGCCCATCTTCAGCGCCAACGCCTGGCGGGCCTACGACACGGCCTCGGCCGAGCGCCGCCTCTCCGGGACCCCCATCTCCTTCATTCTCCTGCTCTCCTACACCTCGGCCTGCGTCAACCCCATCATCTACTGTTTCATGAACAGACGGTTCCGCCTCGGCTTCCTGGCCACCTTCCCCTGCTGCCCCAGGCCCGGCCCCCCGGGGGGCAGAGGGGAGGCGGGAGAGGAGGAGGAAGGCAGGACCACGGGGGCCTCCCTGACCAGGTATTCCTACAGCCACGTGAGCGCCTCGGCCCCGCCCCCGTGAGCTGTCCCCGAGGGCCGGGGCCCCAGCAGGGGGGGCCGAGGGGGCCGAGGGGGCCGAGGACAAGGAGGGCTCCATCTGCAGGGAGAACTGTGCACGGGCTGCCTTTCGTCCTCCATCCGGGTTCCGGGGCGACCCTAAGAGGAGGCTGGGGCCAGGGCTGGGATTCTGGGCAATTCCAGGCGGGACGCGTTCAGTTGACGTTCACCTTCAGAAAAACCTCAACAGGCCAGTAACAGGAGTCCAGCAGGGCTCATATTACAAATGCGATTGCCAAACACGTGTTCAAAATGGAGATGTGGACCCTACTGAAACTGTAGAAGTTTCCAGAACATCCGAGGTGAGCTCTCACTCCCCCATAGTGACGCGCTTCTATGCTCTGCTCATCTGCTGGTGCAGGACTGTGGAGCCTGCATCCCCGTCCCCGGCCCCTACACCCCCCCCTACACCCCCGACGCCCGAGAGGGTACAGCTTACCCACTATAGCCAACCCCTCACCATGATCACAAAAGGTACCATGAAGCTAAGACTCTTCTGGCCACTTTTTGAAGTAAGACAACAGCCTGGCTCTTTCCTTGTGAGGCTGGGGAAGGAATTCAGACACATCACTTTATGTCGTCATCAAAACAGCAAACGGGTTGTTGTCGAAAAGATTAAATTTGGAATTTATATTTCTAAAAAAGAAAAGGGGTGTGTGGCAGATAGCTAGACGGAACGCTATCCTCCCATAATGAATATTTATGAGCGACAAGGTACATAGGCATTTTTTTCTACTTTAATGACTTGTATTATATTGAACCCCATGGCTCCTTTGCCTCGACATAATTTCCCATACTCATCTGGCATTTCCTCTTTTCCAGAAAGACTCCGGGTACAAAGGTGAGTTGTAACCTATGTGTACCTGTCCAAGGGATTTGGAAACACGAACATGTGCAGTCAGTCCCAGAATAAAACCTGGCACGCTTGGGCTCCATTCGCAAATAGCTTTGAATGTCAAAGCTGTCTGTGCCACTAAATACTATCTATGTATTTGTTAATAATTGTATTCATTTTATGTGTAAGTATAAACCAATCATGTAAGTATGTTCTTCACATAGAACTATATTCTTTGGTGTTAAAAAAAAAAAAAAGGAAAAATAGAAACATATATTGGAAATCAGTCATTGTTATCATTCTACATTCCTGCATAACAGCCGAAGTCTTGTGTGAACTTTTCTGTGCAAAATTAGGGTTGACATCTCTCCTCTAATTTAGAAATCTGAATTAAAATGAGACCTGAGCTATAAATTTAGACAGAGGTAAGTGCATTTCTGGAATAGAATGTATCCATTTGGTCCGCCAACACTTCTTTTTCTTTTTCTTTTCTTTTTTTTTTTTTAAGGTAACATTGTCTTGACAGTTTAAATAAATTGACACAGACATTTTTGACACCAATAACTATATATGCTAGTGTAGGAATAAAGAAAGAAGGAAGGGAGGGAGGAAGGAAGGGAGAGAGGAAGGGAGGGAGGAAAGGAGAGAGTACAGAGTCCGTGCCTCCAAGCAGCTGACAAGTGAGCTTTTCTTTCTCTTGCTTCCATGGGATCACAACCATCCATTGTTCCAGGTCTGACATTCTTCATGATGCACAAACATCGGTGGTTTCAATCTTGAGGAAAAATTGGTATAGAAAGGGGAAAGGGAAAGATAGTGGCAAGAGGGGATCATGAATCGGGGAATGGATGTTGGTTGTGTAACTGACCAAGATGTGAGCGTCACCATTTGACTTTCCAGGTGCGATGGTTGGGTGCTAACAGACAAAACAATTATTGGGGACATGACTATTTATGATAGGGGACTTTTCAAGCCAGATGTTAGTTTTCCTGTTTCTCAGACTGTAATGTTAATATTTATACTCAGTCATCTCAAATATTTCAAAGTAAAAATTCAACCGATTAAAGCGCATACTGCTAAATGATAAAAGCAATAAGACATGAAATTGTCTCCATTATTTAAGTAAATTCTACAAAATCTACAGTTTTTCCTGCCAGAGGAATAAGCCTTCCCCTCTGACCATGTGAGCATATAAATAAAGATAAATCAGCCTCCCTCCTTATTGGGGGAACTTCTGGAAGTTCCAAAAGTGTGTAACCTTAAAACAGGGCTGCCAGATTTAGGAAATAAAAATACAGGATGTCCAGTTAAATTCTAATTTCAAATAAACAGCGAATAATTATTTTTAGCATGAGTATGTCCCATGCACTAACATACATCCTGTATTTTATCTGGCAACCCTACTTCAAAATAATTTAAAAGTACATAAAAATATAAATCAGGTTTCCCAGATATAACACAGTAATATGCATTTGTTCACTAAATTTATTGAAAGGTCTTTCACTTAATGGAAGTTTTCTTTTAAAGAGGAAAAATGCTATCAACTTTCAGAATCTGTGTCTGAATCTATCGAGAGGCTGATCTGACTTAAAAATAAGCATTTTTAGGGGTGCCTGGGTAGCTTGGTTGGTTAAGCATCCAACTTTGGCTCAGGTCATGATCTCACGGTTCATGAGTTCAAAACCCGAGCCGGGCTCTCTGCTGACAGCTCAGAGCCTGGAGCCTGCTCTCGATTCTGTGTCTTCTTCCCTCTCTGCCCCTCCCTTGCTCACATTCTGTCTGTCTCTCTCTCAAAAATAAATAAACATTAAAAATTTTTTAATTAAAAAAACATTTTCATTAACATAGAGCTATTCTAGTACATTGTTGAGTCAACTGCCTTTATTTCATGCTGAAGTGTATTACTAATTTAAAGTTGAACTCAAAAAAAAAAAAAAAAAATAAATAAAGTTGAACTCAAGTGGCCTGTAAGGTTAAGAAAACAGGTTCACCAAGTTCCCGGTATTTTATAGTGTTTTCAGGTAGCTTCCACTCATCATCAGAATGGTAAATTACCACTTGAGCGATGGAATGTGTCTTTGATCTTTACTTAACTCATGTGTCCCAATGGCTTCTCGTGTCCTGGTTACTGCAGTAATCTCTCACTCTTAACTAGTAGTGATGAATGAGCAATGCATGTATCTATCTGTTGGCATGTTTGTGTAAGCCTAACATGTATCCCCTCCATTTGGTTAAAATATAATCATGAAGCACGTGACAATAGCTGTTGAACCTCCACTGCAATTCCCTTCAGTGTTTGGCCCAGCACTCTGCACACTGGGAGTGCTCAATAAATGTAGTGACTGACTTCTGCTCTGTCTCCTGTGGTTTGCGGAATGCTCTTTCTATCCACAGCAGTGATTCTCAACAAGGGGGCATGATCTAGGGGGATTATAACAATTTCTAGAGGGCCTTTTCCAACTCTATATGGACCCTTACCCAAGAGTTAGCTGTATGGGCATTTCCTGCCCTCTCTCACTTCCCTTTGCTCTTTTCCTGGGTGTGTGTGTGCATGCACACAACTGGAGATATTTACTAATGGGAGGTGGTTGTGTCTGTGAACACTGCTAGACATGGAGTTTTTATTTTTTTAATTTTTTTCTTAAATAGTTTATTGTCAAGTTGGTTTCCATATAACACCCAGTGCTCATCCCAACAAGTGCCCTCTTCCATGCCCATCACCCCCCTTGCCATCTTCCCCACACCCATCAGCCTTCAGTTTATTCTCAGTATTCAAGAGCCTCTCATGGTTTGCCTCCCTCCCTCTCCCCAACTGTTTTTTCCCCTTCTTCTCCCTCATGGTCCTGTGTTAAGTTCCTCCTAATCCACCTATATGTGCACACATATGGTATCTGTCCTCTGCCTGACTTATTTTGCTCAGCATAACACCTTCAAGGTCCATCCATGTTGCTACACAAGGCCAGATTTCATTCTTTCTCATTGCCATGTAGTATTCCATGGTATAGATAAACCATGGATCTTCTTGATCCATGCATCAGCTGATGGACACTTAGGCTCTTTCCATGTTTTGGCTATTGTTGAGAGTGCTGCTATGAACATTGGGGTACATGTGCCCCTATGCATCAGCACTCCTGTATCCCTTGGGTAAATTCCTAGCAGTGCTACTGCTGAGTCATAGGGGGGTTCTATTATTAATTTTTTCAATATTCACAAATCAATCAATGTGATAGATCACAGTAACAAAAGAAAAGATAAAAACCATATGATCCTGTCGATAGATGCAGAAGAAGCATTTGACAAGACACAGCATCGCTTCTTAATAAAGACCCTCAAGAAAGTCGGGATAGAAGGAACTTACTTAAACATCATTATAGCCATCTATGAGAAGCCCTCAGCTAACACCTTCCTCAATGGGGAAAAACTGAGAGCTTTCCCTCTGAGATCAGGAACACAACAGGGATCTCCACTCTCACCACTGCTGTTTAACCTAGTGCTGGAAGTGCTAGCATCAGCCATCAGACAATAAAAGGAGATAAAAGGCATCAGAATTGGCAAGGAAGAAGCCAAACTTTCACTTTTTGCAGATGACATGTTACTCTACATAGAAAACCTGACAGACTCCACCAGAAGCCTACTAGAACTGATCCATGAATTCAGCAAAGTTGCAGGGTATAAAATCAACATACAGAAATTGGTTGCATTTTTATACACAAATAATGGAGCAACAGAAAGAGAAATCAAGAAACTGATCTCATTCACAATTGCACAAAAAAACATAAAATACCTAGGAATAAACCTAACCAATGATACAGGAGATCTGTATGATGAAAACAATAGAAAACTACAAAGGAAAGTGAAGAAGACACAAAGAAATGGAAAAACATTCCATGCTCATGGGAGAAAAGAATAAATATTGTTAAAATGTCATTACTACCCAAAGCACTCTACACATTCAATGCAATCCCAATCAAAATTGCACCAGCATTCTTCTCAAAACTAGAACAAACTATCCTAAAATTTGTATGGAACCACAAAAGACCCTGAATAGCTTAAGTAATATTGAAGAATAAAACCATAACGGGAGGCATCACCATCCCAGACTTTAGCTTCTACTACAAAGCTGTCATCATCAAGACAGTATGGTATTGGCACAAAAACAGACACATAGACAAATGGAATAGAATAGAGAACTCAGAATTGAACCCA